GTGCTATGGCTGGGGCTCAAAGAAAGGCAGGTGGTAGCAAACCCTCCTCCTGCCTAATTTTTCCATGGGGTGAGGAGGGAGCAAAGACTTTCTGCCGGGGCTGTGGCCAACCGCGGGACGGGTGATGAGGAGCAGAGCCATCTCGACTCCTCTGTCAGCACAATCTTTGCTCCATGCAAAATACTTACTTTCCACTTCCATTTGCAGCTTGTCACTGTGAGTTTTTTCTCGTGGCTTGGAGGAAGGGCAAGCTGCACGCACACGCTTTTTTTTCCCCCTGCTCCTTTTAGCTTCTAATGCAAGTACTCGTAAATATGCATGGAGTGAGGATGGGGTAAGCATCATGCAGCAAGTGCAGTGCTGGCAACGCTGCCCTCATCCTCCCTGCTTTCAGGGGGCTGCAAAACCATGCTGGAGTCTTCCCTGTACAACCCTAAAGTGCTTTGTCGCCAAAGTCCAAAGCTGACTACAAAGCAGCACATCTCTGGGTGGTTCAAGGATCACCGTGTCCCATTTGCAGGGATGCTCAAGCTGTACTGCACCTCTTATTTAAAAAATAAATAAATAAATGCAGCCTGCTCACTACTGTTTGGTGCCTCAAAGTTTAACTTCACCTATTTAGGGACCTTGGGGACTGCTCTGTTACATGGCATCGCTGACTAGGAACCCAAACTGCAGCTCACAGGAGTCTGCAACTCAAGAAGAAGGTCAAAAAGCATCTTTAGAGTGTGGCCAGCATGAGCAGGGCAGTGATTGTCCCCATGTACTTGGCACTGGTGGAACTGTATCTCAAATTCTGTTTTCAGTTTTGGGCTCAGACACTGAGATGCTGGAGCAGGTGCAGAGAATGGCACCAAAACTGGGGAAGGGTCTCAGGAACAAGTCTTGTGAAGAGAGGTGGAGAGAACAGGGGTTGCTCAGCCTGCAGAAAGCAAGCTGAGGGGAGACCTTATTGCTCTCTACCACTCCCTGGAAGGAGGGTGTAGCAACGTGGGGATCGGGCTCTTCTCCCATGTAACGAGTGATAGGACAAGAGGCAATGGGCTCAAGTTGTGCCAGGGGATTGGATATTAGCAAAAATTACTTTACCAGAAGGAAGAGGCTGCCCAGGACAGTGGTGGAGTCCCCATCCCTGAAGGGATTTAAAAGATGAATAGATGAGGTGCTCAGGAACGTGGTTTAGTGGTGGACCTGGCAGTGCTGGGTTAACAGCTGGACTCGATAACCTTTAAGGTCTTTTCCAACCTAAATGATTCCATGATTCCACTTTTTTTTGTACAGGGGAGGGGTCATCCCCAGCTTCCTTCCATTTCTTTTCACAGCTAGATCTGGAGGTTATCCTGACAGGTTGAGAACAGCCAAAGCTGCCCCATCCTGGAGGCTAAAACACTGGTGTGCCTTAAACAACCTTTTCTTATTCAAAAACAAGAATTCAAAATTAAAATAGGGTGACTATCTAGATAAATTCATGGTGGCGTATTTTATCTCTAGCACATATAAAATAGTGTCATTCACTTTAGGTTTGGGTTTTTTTTCTTTCTCCAGTTAAAACACTCCTTTCCAGGTCGATCAACATATCTCTGACGCTTTTGAAGGCAGTGAAAAATACACTCATAGTGCATTAAATACAAATTCCGCATATTCTTGATTCAGAATCGTATTAGAACCGTAGAAATTCATGTTAGAAACGCAGATACGTTATATCAAACCTTGCCCACTCACGAAGACGGTCTGGAGACCATGGTGTTTGACATGGTCACTCCCTGGTCCATCCCTGCAGGCATGTTTCAGCACCAGGATAGCATGGAGTGACACCCAGCACTCCTTGGCACTTCAAACACCTTTATAAAGTGATTATTTCGGTCTAACAAAACCTTGGGTACAATTTTAGGTCGTTAGTATCATGTTCTTCACCCTCTGGCTTCAGGCAGTTTGGCCATCTCCGCACCAGTCTGTATATTAACAACAAAAATGAATTCACACTGCTTATGCCTTGATACTCTTTGCTTTCTCAGTCTGGAATAAAAAAAAATTTTTTAAAAAAGGAGGATTTTTAGCAGCCCTCATTAGGAGAGAGGAGCAGCTCAAGTCAGCACTGACACAAGGCACCAGGGATCTCTGAGGTACAGGTTGCATCCATCTCCTGTGTTCTGTGCCCAAGAGGAGGGATGCTAGCATCTTATTTAGAATCATAGAATCATCATAGAATCATAGACTGGCCTAGGCTGGAAGGGACCTTAAAGATCATTTTAATCCAGCCTCCCTGTTGCCAGGGACACCACATCTAAACTAGATCAGGCAACACATGGGGACCGAACAGGAATCGAACCCGCGACCTCAGCGTTGTTAGCGCCACACTCAACTGACTGAGCTAAATTTCAACACATGACACTCAACGCAGTAACACCCCTAGTAAAAGACATTTCAGGATGTGCTTCCCCAACTCCTCTCCTCTATAATCGTAGAACCATAGAATGGTTTCTGTTGAAAGGGACCTTGAAGCCCATCTAGTTCCAAACCCCGGCCATGGGCAGGGACACCTCCCACTAGTCTGACCCCGTCTGACCTGGCCTTGAATGCTTGCAGGGATGAGGCATCCACAACTTCTCTGGGCCACCTGTCCCAGAGTCTCACCACCCTCACTGAAGAGAATTTCTTCCTAATATTTAATCTAAACCTGCCCTCTTTCATTTTGAAAGGGTTACCCTTTACAAGCCACTATAACATCTCCAGGGAGCCTTCTCTTCTCCGGGCTGAACAACCCCAACTCTCTCAGCCTGTCCTCACGGCAGGGGTGCTCCAGCCCCTTGAGCATCTTTGTGGCTTCCTCTGGACTCACTCGAACAGGTCCACGTCCTTTGTATGTTGGGAGCCCCAGAGCTGGACACAGCACTGCCAGTGGGGTCTCACCAGAGCGGAGCAGAGCGGGAGAATCACCTCCCTCGCCCTGCTGGCCACGCTTCTCTTGACGCAGCCCAGGATGCGATTGGCTTTCTGGGCTGCGAGCGTACTTTGCCAGCCCATGGTCAGTTTTTCATCCACTAACACCCTCAAGTCTTTCTCCACAGGGCTGTGCTCAATCCATTCGTTGCCCAGCCTGTGTTTGTGCTGGGATTGCCCTGATCCAAGTGCAGGACCTTGCACTTGGCCTTGTTGAACTTCATGAGGTTGGCCTGGGCCCACCTCTCCAGCCTGTCCAGGTCCCGCTGGTTGGCATCCCTTCCCTCTGGCGTGTCAGCCGCCCCACACAGCTTGGTGCCACTGGCAGATTTGCTGAGGATACACTCAGTCCCACTGTCCATGTCACCAACAAAGATGTTGAACAGCCCCAGCCCCAATACTGACCCCTAAGGAACACCACTCATCACTGGTCTCCACGCAAACATCCAGTGGTTCACCACAACCCTTTGAGTGCCACCATCCAGCCGTTCCTTACCCACCGAGTGGCCTGTCTACTGAACCCACGTCTCTGCAATTTAGAGACAAGGACGTCACGTGGGACAGTGTCAAATGCTTTGCACAAGTCCAGGTAGATGACATCACCTGCTTTTCCCTTACCCACCGGCACTGTGGCCCCATCATAGAAGGACACCAAACTCCACCAAATACTCTTCCTAAGCACTACAGTTGCACTATTACAGGTCTTAAAGGTCTTATTCCATTTGATACACATTTACAGGCCAATTTACTATCAGTTTGTCTGATCATGGAAAAATCTTTCGAAGGCCTTTCTAGACTCTTAACCGCTGGCTGGTGACATGCCTTGCATCTCTGCAGCACTCGGCCGAAAATAATAATGCTTTATCCCAGAACCCCTTAGCCCTACTCCAGCCCAGAGGTTACATGGGCTGTGAAAATGATGATGGCTTCCACGGTTTGAAGGGAAAATTGAATCACTCTTAAAGCTACGCTGCAGCTTTGCTGAGACGATTTTTCTTTTTTTGCACTGTGGATACAGATTTCAAGGGGATGCTTTCACAGGAGCATCATCTGAAATCCTCTCTCTGCTGCAGCTGGGGACAATATTGCCATAAACACATGGATCTTGAAGAAGTGGGGAGGATGGGACAGAGCAGTTTTGACTGTGCTTTGTGGTGAAATGACTTTCCAGGGAGGCAAATAATATTTTCTTCTAATTTTCTTGCTAAGTTCTTTCACAAACTAGTTTGACCCCAAGTTGTAGCGCAAGAGATGCCCTTTTCTTTTCTTTTTTTTTTTAAACATAGGTTTAAAATAGATGCTCACACTCCTCTTGCTTCCACCTATCTTCATAACACATTTAACACTAACATCCCACACCACTTGTTTGAGGAACGAAACTCCCCTCTACACTCATGCAGTGCAAGAAAGGGTTACAAAAGCCCTTAAGCAGGAGAAA